TTTGCCACTTAATTTCTTTTTCTTTTTTTCCGACTACAAAGCACATAAATTTTAAAATTTTATCAAAAATTTCCAATAATTAGGCAACGCCGCCACCAAATGTAAAAACGAAATTTGCTTTTACAGTGTTTTTCTTTTGGTTTTCCTCTTTTGTCAAATGTAAAATTCAATATTTTTCAAAACTATTTCATCTGATATATTAATGTCAAAGCGACATTAGTAGGTTGGAAAAGTCAATATTACATACCAAATGAATAAAAAGTATGAAACTAAACGTTTTTTGCTTAAACTATTTATTTCTTGGAAAAACTAATTGATGAATGATAATGATAAATTTTTTTGAAATTGTCTTGTTTTTGATTTCTACTTTTTTTTTAAATGGCAACTCACTATAAAACCATTTTTTTGATGAAGGTTTTGATCTAAGGATTACAACTATCTACTTAATATTTAGTTTTTTCAAAATTTTTTTTACGTAAATTTTAATTTTGACAAAAAATTCACATAACCCGAAAACAAAACAAAAATTCGTTCTCAAAATACGATCACCTTTTTTATATTATTTTAATTTATATTAATTATTATTTTCTGGAGACAAGCAATTTAACACAAAACCGCTTGGTTCAATCTTTTATATTCACCCTGTATAATTGTTACATTCAGAAAATCATCTTATAAAATTTCAATATTTCATAATTTTTAGTTATTTTAGTGTATAAGAAAAGTAAATAGAAATGGCATCAAACAATAGAGCATTTTTGCATTAAATAAAGAAAATTTTTTTTAACTCAAAGCATATATTATGTATTTTCAAAATTTTGCAAAATTTTGTCAAATTTTGAATCTGCGTGAAGAAGAATGAAAAGGTTTACAACGTTAATTTTCATTATTAAGTTCATTATTACTGTTATTTTTCAAAATTGTTGTCTTTACAATTTTTAAACAATATTTTTTCTTTTTTAGTTTTTGTTATTGATTGTACTGTTTTTTAAGAGTTGTAAAGAATTGATCCATATGAAGAACCAAACCATAATAATTTAATCATTAATTGCAATTTTTTTATAATTTTGATAGAAAAATAATGATCTAAAGTTTTATCACCCTGTACAGCAAAAGTGTATAAAACTAATATGAAACGATGAAGCAAGGGTTTCTTTACCAATATGCGAAACTTTATTTTTCTATTGTTAATTATTATTAGCAATAACAATTTTTATTAAAATATTACAAGAAACTTATTATTCAAGTCATATATTTTTTTAATTTTCGAACAAATAACACAATTTTAGAAAAATTGGATTTTTTTCAAATTTCGGAGGTGTGTTTTACTATTTCTTGTTATTTTTTGTTACTTTTTCTTTCCTTCTTTTCTGTTTTTCTTTTATTAATTTTTATCTCATTAATTTAGGATGAGAAATAAGACGAATTTTAATTCAAATTATTTATTTTTAAAATTTTCGATTACGAAACTGATAATATTGTGACAATTATCACAGATGGGGGACGGAAATGTGCCCTTCAATTTTTTACAAGGCTTTGACTAGAGCTGCGCTGGTTCCTGCGCAAATGGCCATACTGAGAACCATGAGTAGGAGAATTGTGAGCATTGCAAAGGGCTTCTCCTCGTCATTTGTGACCCTAAAATGGGTATTTTAATTTTTGCAAAAAAATCAATTGACTCACTTTGGAACCATAATTATGTCAAGATTGATCAAAAATCCGTTACTGAATGCGAAAATAATCATAAAAATTGCATAAACAGCGTCGGAATTGAACACAACGCCGAGGTGGTCTCTGGGTTGGGCGTTGCAAAAGAGCAAAAGGGGGATAAAAGGGATGCGAAGGAGGCTCAAAACCAGGAGTGTGAATCCATCAGAAGGCTAAAATTTTTATTAGTAGAAAAATAAAAAAAATAAATAAATAAATTTAACCTTCTTGAAGTACATTGCAACTTCACGTCCCACGTAATCAAACAAATAAAAGAAGAGAAAATTCAAAACAGGCCCAAAAAACGTGTCTGAAATTTTTTTTCAAAATTTTTATTTTTCATTTTGGGAAAATTACCGCCCCATGGGGTCCCATCGCCCTTATCCACCGACACCACCAGCGAGGTCACCCCCGGATGTACCATGATGGTGCACCCCAAGACCAGCACCATGGACCCCATATACAACCTCACTTTTTTAATCGCCGACTTGATCACTTCTTTATCCAATTTCAAATCGGTTTTCGTCGCTTCCAATTTCTTCATTAAGTGAAAATCGAAATATTTTGACCTTCGCCAAAGACCGAGAAACCCCACTAGAGTGAAAAAGACGAAAAACATCCCGAGGAGGAAGTAGATGAGCCCCGTGGTGGCAGGGCCCCCGCCGACCCCCAGGGCGAAGATCTGCACCAAAGCGGCGAAAATCCCGCAGATTGCTTGCCCCGAAAATAGGGGGGCGAGGTCTTTGGAGGGGAACTTCGCCGCGAGCTCGAATACCGAAACCATGAAAATCCCGGAAAAGGCTGAAAAATCATGAAATAGTAGATTATGCACCGAGGGGGAAAGTGTTTCATTTTCACTTTCCGCCGAGCTTTGTACATAATTTTATTCACAACCGCATCGTTAATTAATTTTTGCAGCAGGTCGGTAATGAGTGACTTTCCACCCTCTGTCAAGGTCGGAAAAGTCAATATTACATATCAGATGAATAAAAAGTATGAAACCAAACGTTTTTTGCTTAAACTATAACTATAAAAAAAAATTATTTTCCTGTTTTTGATTTCTACATTTTTTTTTAAATGGCAACCCAGTATAAAACCATTTTTTTTGATGAAGGTTATGATCTAAGGATCTATCTACTTAATATTTAGTTTTTGCAAAAAAAATTTTTGTGTAATTTTAAATTTGAAAAAAAATTCGCATAACTCAAAAACAAAACAAAATTTCGTTCTCTTTTGAGATCACATTTTTTATATTACTTTAATTTATATTAATTATTATTTTCTGGAGGCAAATAATTTAACACAAAACCGCTTGGTTCAATCTTTTATATTCACCCTATATAATTGTTACATTTAAAAAATCATCTTATAAAATTTTAATATTTCATAATTTTTAATTGACACCCTGTATAAGAAAAGTAAATAGAAATGGCATCAAACAATATATGCTCTATTAATAAAGCAAAATCTTCTTTATAAATAAAGAAAAAAAAGTTTAACTCAAAGCATATATATTATGTATTTTCAAAATTTTGCAAAATTTTGTCTAATTTTGGATCTGCATGAAGAATAATGAAAAGGTTTACAACGTTTATTATTATCATTAT